AGCAGCTTGCCCTATCAGTGATGGTGGGAGTGGTCTTGGACCCAAAGAAACCTCCAAGACCACTATCACCAACACTGACAGGGAAGTCTACCAGCACTGATGATGGTCTCTAGTTGGGTTATGAAATGTCTGCAAAAAAGCCACCAAGCTCAGCCAGCACCGAGGACCCTTCCTCACATTCTCTGTGCCCTGAGCAGGCCGGAGTCTTTTTCCACTGACCTTGTCAGAGAAGACAAATCCGAGAACGCCCGCAGCCAGTTGCAGTAGGAAGAGCAGGGTCAAGCAGAAGGAGAACTGCGGGGGGCAAAATATTGGGTTTTTTTAAAATTCCGTTTCTATCAGCGCCCATCTCAAAGATTAATAATAATAATAATAATAATAATAATAATAATAATAATAATAATAATAAAGTTGGAAGGGACTTTGGAGGTCATCTAGTCCAACCCCCTGCTCAGGCAGGAAACCCTATACCATTTCAGACAAATGGCTGTCCAGTCTCTTCTTAAAAACTTCCAGTTTTGGAATATTCACAACTTCTGGAGGCAGGTTGTTCCACTGGTTAATTAGAATAGAATAGAATAGAATAGAATAGAATAGAAAATATGGAATGGAATTGAATGGAATAGAATAGAATAAATAGAATAGAATGAAATACGATAGGATAGGATAGAATAGAAAATATGGAATGGAATGGAATGGAATAGAGCTGGAAGGGAGCTTGGAGGTCATCTAGTCCAACCCCTGCTCAGGCAGGAAACCCTATACCATTTCAGACAAATGGCTGTCCAATCTCTTCTTAAAAACCTCCAGTGATGAGGCATCCATGACTTCTGGAGGCAAGCAGTTCCATTGGTTAATTGTCCTCACTGTTAGGAAGTTTCTCCTTAATTCCAGGTTGCTTCTCTCCTGGATTAGTTTCCAACCGTTCTTTCTTGTCCCTTCTTAAAAACTTCCAGTGTTGGAGCATTCACGGTGGGAAAGCCAGATTCACTTAACAACCGTGTCACTAACTTAACAACTGCAGCGATCCACTTAACAACGGAGGCATGAAAGGTCATAAAGCGGGGCAAAGCTCACTTAACAATGGTCTCGCTTAGCAACAGAAATGTTAAGCTCAGTTGACCATCGTAAGTCGAGGGCNCACGCAGCCACAGAACGTGACGAAGAACATCAGGACACCGATGACCAGGAGCAGAATGGCCGGATCCACAGCAAGACACGCCACGGCTGCTTCTACGGAGGGGACGAAAGGGAGAGAAATGGGTTTGTCCGTTTTCGTCTACCCAGCGACATTTTTGGATCAGCCAAACCTTCCCTTTCACTTAAACCAGGGGTCTTCAAACCTGGCCCTTTTAGGACTTGTGGACTTCAACTCCCAGAATTCCTCAGCCAGCATGGACCATATAGGCCAGGGGTCTTCAAACTTGGCCCTTTTAGGACTTGTGGACTTCAACTCCCAGAATTCCTCAGCCAGCATGGACCATATAAGCCAGGGGTCTTCAAACCTGGCCCTTTTAGGACTTGTGGACTTCAGCTCCCAGAATTCCTCAGCCAGCATGGACCATATAAGCCAGGGGTCTTCAAACTTGGCCCTTTTAGGACTTGTGGACTTCAGCTCCCAGAATTCCTCAGCCAGCGTGCCTGGCCGAGGAATTCTGGGAGTTGAAGTCCACAAGTCATCAAAGGGCCAAGTTGGAAGACCCCTGTCTTAAATCTATCAAACAAAATGGAGGCTGGATGAAGAATTCTGGGAGTTGAAGTCCACAAATCATAAAAGGGCCAAGTCTGAAGACCCCTGACTTAAAGTTTAGGTCCACAATCCCCGGACTGTGGCCCACTACCATAGCCTATGCACAACCGGGCCGTGGGCAGGCACACACACGCACAGACCGCTGACTTAAACCATATATTCCTAGGCTGGAAGGGATCTTGGAGGTCTTCTAGTCTGACCCCTGCTCGAACAGGAGACCTGATACAGATGGTCAATTTACAACCACGACTGCACCCGAAGTTTCCATCACTAAGGTAGTTAAGTGGGTTTTGCCCCATTTGACGACTTTTCTGGCCACCGTTGTTATGTGGATCGCTGCCTCTGGTAAGTTAGTAAGCCCGTTGTTAAGTGAATCTGGCTCCCCCCCCCATTGGCTTTCCTGGTCAGAAGGTCACAAAAGGCATCACACGAACCCTGCAACCGTCGTAAATTTGAGTCAGTTGCCAAGCGTCTGAATTTTGATCGCTGCTGCTGCAACGGCCGTAAGTGTGAAACACAGTCATAAATCACCTTTTCGAGTTCTGTTGTAACTTTGGACGGCCACTAAACCAACTGTTGTAAGTCGAGGACTAACTGCAGTTCCTGGGGAAATGGACGACCGTTAAGTCCTCGACTTACAACAGCCTGTTTAGTGACTGTCCGAAGTTACAACGGCACTGGAAAAAAGCCAGACTCACTTTACAATGGTGCTACTAATCCACTGCAGGGATTTACTTAACAATTTGTTTGAAATGGCATAGGGTTTCCTGCCTGAGCAGTGGGCTGGACTAGATGACCTCCAAGGTGCCTTCCAACTTTATTATTATTATTATTATTGTTGTTGTTGTTGTTGTAGCAAGAAAGTTGGTAGAATGGGGCAAAACTCACTTCACAAATGTCTCACTTAGCAATGCAAATTCTGGCCTCAATTGTGGTCGTAAGTTTGAAGACTACCTGTCCCTTGTTGATGGAACCCTTGTTTGCAAGGTCTCACCTGCATGCTTGATCAGCCGAGCATACATTCCGACAGCCAGCAACACCATGGACATCACCTGCGCATGAAAAGGGCAGAAGCATCAGAGCAGGTCCTTGGTCAGGAATGGGAGTCATCTTTTGAGAATGCAAAGGATCAGGGGATCCATCCTTCCTAGTCCCTTGAACCTGAGATCTGGAGAACAAAGGTGGGGAGCTACTATCCTGGAGGTTAAGCATGAATTTCCAGGGTTTTTTTCCAATAAAGGAGAATATTGTAGCTCAGGGTGGAATGATAGGGTCCTGGGTGCTCTCTGAGCTTGGCGGGTTTCTTGCAGATGTTTCGTGACCCAACTAGGCAACATCATCCATGCTAGAAGAGTGTGTGAGTTTTACAGAGAGGAGGAGGAGGAGCAGGAGGAGGAGGAGGAGGAGGAGGAGGAGGAGGAGGGGGAGGACGACGACGACTATGGGGTCCTGGGTGCTCTCTAAGCTTGGTGGTTTTCTTGCAGACGTTTCATGACCCATCTAGGTAATATCATCAGTGCTAGGGCCATGAAACGTCTGCAAGGAACCCACCAAGCTCAGAGAGCACCAAGGACCCCACAGTTCTCCTCCTCCTCCTCCTCCTCCTCCTCCTCCTCCTCCTCCTCCTCCCCATAAACCCCCCTCCCTTCTAGCACTGATGATGCTACCTAGTTGGGTCACGAAACGTCTGCCAGAAAAGCACCAGCTCGGAGAGCACTAAGGGACCCCTCAGGTTTTTGAACTGAAACTTTTAGAACCTCACTAAATCCTGGCCACCTCCCCACGGCCTATTTCCTCGGAATTTTTATCCACCAGGATACTATTTATTCCATCCCACCATTGGACAGAAGGGCCTCTGTACATTTTTGGGGAGAGAATAGGACAAATCTCCCCCCCTCCCATCGCCTATTGAAGAACACCTCCCATGATTAGGGGAAGATCTAGATTGACATTTGTCAATCTCAGCAACTTTAGGTTTGGGGGAACTTCAACTGCTCAAATCCCCCAGCCGGCTCAGCAATTTTAAAGGGGGCGGAGCGGGCTTCCACTTCCACAATTCTCCAGCCAGCTCAGCAGCTTTAAGGGAGTGTGTGTGTGTGGGGGGGAATGGACTTCAACTCCCAGAATTCCCCAGCCAGGTCAGTGACTTTAAGCTGAATGGTGAATTCTGGGAGTTGAAGTCCACCCATCTTAAAACATGGTTGCTGAGGTTCATAAACACTGTTCTAGCCTCGGGGGGGGGGGCATCTGTGGGAACTTTCCTTGTGGACTTCAATTCCCAGAATTCCTCCCGGCTGGCTCGGGGATTCTGGGAGTTGAAGTCCACAAGTCCACTCTGCTCTGGAGCATCTGTCTGACCCTTGAAAGCCCCTTCTTTGGAAAGACATCCGAATGGGGGTCAGCAGCGGGGGCAAAAGCCATCTGTGGGGGGCTCAGAAGCCCCCTGCTCTGCCGGAGGGGCCGAGGACGGATCTGGTGCATCCCCTCCCTCTCTTTCCCAACTTCAACCTGCCCGTTCCCACGTCCTGCTAAGCCCCCTACCCCGGGTTGAAGATACCCCCACTGGACGCTCCGGGCTCAGAAGGGTGGAAGCCTCGTTTTATGACCTTCCCCCGACCCGCTTTGGGCCAGCCAGCACGCAGCCCGGATCCTAAGGGGATCCCGCTTCCAACACGGGCAGATCGAAGGAGATCGCGCCAGTTCGGGCTTCTATTCACACACACACACCCCGCGCGCAACCCGCCAACCGTGGGCTCGTCGCAGCCAGCAGAGCTCAGCCGCGCAACCCCTCGACACGCGCGCGCGTTCCCACGTGCGGCGCGTCTCCAGAGGGTGGGAAGCCCCGGGAGTGGGGCGCCCCTCCCCGGCGCCCCCCTGCAAGGGCAAAAAAAAAAGGCCCGACCACTCCTCCCCGCAGGACTCGGGTCTCGTTCACACGGGACGGGGCTTCTTTTTTGCACGCGTGCGTCGCCCCCTTTCCCACGGCTCCTGCCCGGCTCACCCAGAAAAGCAGGTTGAAGAAGAAGAGCAGGGACTTGACCAGGGGGCTGACCCGGCGCTCCCGGAGAAGGGCCATGGCCCGGCTTTCGCCCAGCCGACCGGTCCGGTCCGGTCCAGCTCTGGACCCGACCCCTGGCTCGCGCCGCTCTTTAGTCTCGTAAGGTGCGTCCCTCCCCAACTCTCCAAACGACGCGGCGATTGGTCTGGCTGGTCGCCGCTTTTATTCCCCATTGGCCTCCCCTCCTTTCATTCATCCCCCCTCCCCTCCTCTCTTTTTTTCACAAGGCTGGCTTTCTTTTTGCTCCCTCTTCTGCCGGCCAGTCCGAGGAGGGAACTCTCTTAAAGGGGCCGCGTGCGGGCTAAGCCGAGGAGCGGCGCGTCCTGAGCGAAAGGGACGGCTTTCCCACGCTCTCCAACGACTTTCTCCGGGCCGTTCTGCAAAAAAAAAAAAAAAAAAATAGAAATTACAAAAAAAAATAAATGCACATATACGTGGAAATAAGAGAGCGGAAGATAGAAAATGGCTCAAATAATAAAAATACAACCTCTGTAGCCTCGGATCCCAGGCTCAATGGATCCCGTTTTTCCAGAGCCGTGATGCCGAAGAGAGCTAAATTTCTAGAGAAGGAAGGCACTACAACAGGGGTTCTCAACCTTTTTAATGCCGCGACCCCAACCGGTCGTAAGTCGAGGACTAAACCGGTCGTAAGTCGAGGACTACCCAACCGGTCGTAAGTCGAGGACTTCCCCTGCCCTGGAGCACTGCGCATGCGTGGTTCCGCCCCCTGCGCCGGCCGAGGCGTAGCTGGCAAGCAGCAGAGACGGAGCAGGCCGACCACCAGCTGGCCCAGCCCAAGGGAGGTAAGGCACCCGCCGGAAAAGGGGAAAAAATGGCGGACAAAAAAAATGGCGGACGGCCTTGCTTGGCGACCCCCGTGAAGTGGTCGATCGACCCCCAAATGGGGTCCCGACCCACAGGTTGAGAACCACTGCTCCAGGCCTTCCTGTCCTCTACCATCTTCTGGAGTCCATTGAAGCTCATGCCTAGCTGCTTCAGCATTAAGTGGAAAAGAAAGAAAAGAGAAAGCGCACCTTGGTGTCACAGGCGTGACATCTCTATAAGAGTAGGTGTATATAAAAACACGCGCGTATTCGAACGCAACGTGGTGTCAACATTTCAAAGCAACCGGTGAAGAGCTTTGGGAGATTTAAGATTTTGAACAAACAAACACTTACATGTTTATTTATACAAACTTTCAAAGCAATCGGTGAAGAACTTTCGGAGATTTAAGATTTGGAACAAACAAACATTTACAGAAATGTTCCTAGAACAGTGGTTCTCAACCTTTTTAATGCCGTGACCCCAACCGGTCGTAAGTCGAGGACTAAACCAGTCGTAAGTCAAAGACTAAACCGGTCGTAAGTCGAGGACTTTCTCTGCCCGGGAGCGCTGCACATGCATGGTTCCGCCCCCTGCGCCGGCCGAGGTGTAGCTGGCAAGCGGCAGAGACGGAGCAGGCCGACCACCAGCTGGCCCAGCCCAAGGGAGGTAAGGCACCCGCCGGAAAAGGGGAAAAAATGGCAGACAAAAAAAATGGCAGACAAAAAAATGGCGGACAGCCTTGCTTGGCGACCCCCGTGAAGTGGTCGATCGACCCCCAAATGGGGTCCCGACCCATAGGTTGAGAACCACTGCTCCAGGCCTTCCTGTCCTCTACCATCTTCTGGAGTCCATTGAAGCTCATGCCTCCTGCTTCAGCATTAAATGGAAAAGAAAGAAAAGAGAAAGCGCACGTTTGTGTCACAGGTGTGACATCTATATAAGAGTAGGTATATAAAAACACGTGCGTGTTCGAACGCAACGTGGTGTCAACATTTCAAAGCAATCGGTGAAGAGCTTTCGGAGATTTCAGATTTTGAACAAACGAACACTTACGTGTTTATTTATACAAACTTTCAAAGCAATCGGTGAAGAACTTTCGGAGATTTAAGATTTTGAACAAACAAACATTTACACAAAGGTTCCTAGAAGCACGAAGCCGAAAACACCAGCCTGAAGATGACGAATGGGACTTCGTCGAAACGTCGCCAAGACACTTCCAATTTTACGCGGGAGAAAACCCGAATAACCAAAGACCTACATACAAACATCCGCGAAAACCTCAGAAAACACACACACACACACACACACACACACACACATATATAATGCACATATACGTGGAAATAAGATAGCGGAAAATGTAAAATGCCTCAAACAATAAAAATACAATCTCTGTAGCCTCGGATCCCAGGCTCAATTGATCCCGTTTAAGCACCGTGATGCCAAGAGCTAAATTTCTAGAGAAGGCACTACAGCCGTGGTGGCGAACCTATGGCACGGGTGCCACAGGTGGCACGCAGAGCCCTCTCTGTGGGCACGCACGTTGTCGCCCCAGTCCTAGGCCTTCAGCTGGGTTTTATAAAACCTTTTTGCTTTAGGCCTCCGCCGCCGTGTGCAAAAAAATTTTTTTTTCCAATCAGTCAATTTCAACCTCGCCGGGGGGGGGGGGGGGGGGGGGGGAGATCTGGCAAAGTTGGAATTGATTGATTGAACTTTTTAGTCCCGTCCAGTCTGCTGTTACCACCATAGCCATGTCCACCCAATGGGCCATACCCACCCAATGGACATGCCCACCTGGCACCCACTCGATACATAAGTGGGTTTTGGGTTGCAGTTTGGGCACTCCGTCTCTAAAAGGTTCGCCATCACTGCAACAGTACAGGCAGTCCTGGAGTTACGACCGTATTTCAGCCCCAAATTTCTGCTGCTAAGCGGGACAGTTAAGTGAATTTTGCCCCGTTTTAACAACCTTTCCTGACGCAATTGTTAAATGAATCGCTGCAGTTGTTTAAGTTAGTAAGCGAGTCTCGCTTGCCCGTTGACTTTGCTAAGGTCGCAAAAAGTTTGAGGACCCCTGATATAGGGTCTTCTGCTCAAGCAGGGGGTTGGACTAGAAGACCTCCAGGTCCCTTCCGACTCTGCTATTCTGTTATATATATATGTTATAATAATATATTATTTATATACTATTGTTATTTATTTATTTATTTGTTGGTTGGTTTATCCCATTTTAAAACCACCCGTCTCCCTCAGAAATGGACTCCAGATGATGGGCAAATAAAAAGTTAAAAGCTGAAAAAAAACCAAAAATAATAATTATAATTTGAAATAGAGGCAAAGATGGTTAAAATTCAACATTAAATATCAATTCAAACGATCTCTCCGGGAAACTGGCTTAACTCTCCAGGGGACAGCCTTCCTTGAGTCTCCAGAGTCCTGGACTACAAAACCCTTTGTGCCCAGCCCCACACATCTGGAAGGTATAATTCACCTAAGCATATTCATGATTTTTATGGGACGTGCATGTTTAAAGGGGTGAGGTTTTGGAATAAATTCTTGCCTTCCTTGTTGAAATGTGGCCAGCTTACCTCCCTTGATCCTGTTTTCACTCTGCTGTTTGCTCTCAAAAGCCCCTTCCTTCCGTCTCTTCTGCTTTATCGTGATTGTTCCTTGTTTCTATTCAGTTTTGTCTTCATATATTCTTAATTTATTTTTTTGTGTCTCCTTGCTGCTTCTTCTCTGTAATTCATTCTTCACTTAATGGTTTGTTCAGGGCAGCTTCTGCTGGCAGTTGCCGGTGTTTTTAGCCCCGTTCCTGCCCTATAATCCTAATTCCTCCCCCGGACACACACAAGGAAATCTGTGTTTCTCCGTTTTTTAAAAACTGCAGCCAATTCAAGACTTTCCATGCCGGGAGAGTCCTAAAATCTAAGCAAAGAGAGAGGCCTGAGAATTCCTTTCCATCACAAGAGCTCGCCAATAATATTTAATTCATCTTTTTTTTAAAGATAAGATAAGATAACCTTTATTGTCATTTTTTTACTGTGGGCACAACGGCACACATCAAAAATGAAATTGAGTTGCCCGCTCTCAAAGTGAAACACATCCATGACACACACCTAAACATACTATGAACATATGTACAGACCCACATCCCTACATATACACGTAGCAAATAAATATTAAATACTGTCCATCTTGAATATATAAATCTTTTAAATCTATGCACTGAGTTGACATTTGTGTATTCTGTCTTTTCCAGTAAACGCCCATGGTTATGCTGAGTGGGGAATTCTGGGAGTTGAAGTCCACCCCTCTAAAACTGGCTGAAGTTGAAAAACACTGCAGTATACAATTGTTCTGTCTCTATCAAAAGCCTTTGGTTTGTTTTTTTGCAAAATAGCACAATTTGCTGGCTCCAATTCCCTGACATTTGCGGAATTTTTAAGTCTGGCTAGTTTCCGAGGGAATGAATGTTTATTGTTCCCTCCCAGGCAGCAATATATTTTTTTTCCTACATGGTGCCCAGAATCACTTCAATAGTGAGATGGGCGGCCTATAAATTTAATAAATAAATAACATTTTTTTTCTTGAGAAAAAAAAATCTTTGTGCAATGTCCAATCACAGTCCAGGGAACCTGCTTCTCCAACCTTTTGGAAATTTCAGCTATGTTGGAAATGGACCCCCAAGAATGAGCTACCATAGTGGCTGTGCATTCTGGGGGTCTGTAGTCCCAGTGCATCCAGAGGTTGGAGAAGCACTGAGCATTTACGCATAAGTACAGGTCGTTCTCAATTTACGACAGTTCATTTAGTGACCATTTGAAGTTACAACAGCACTGAAAAAAAGGGCCTTTTGACCATTTTTCACACTTAGGACCGTTGTAGCCTCTCCCTGGTTCAGGTGATCAAAATCCGGACGCTTGGCAACTGACTCATATTTATGACGGTCGCAGTGTCCCGGGGTCACGTGATCCCCTTTTGCGACCTTCTGGCAAGCAAAGTCAGTGGAGGAAGCCAGATTCACTTAACAATTTTGATACTAGTTTAACAACTGCAGTGATTCGCTTAAGAACTGCGGCCAAGCAGGTCGTAAAACGGAGCAAAATTCACTTAACGACCAAGTTATTAACTTAACAACTGAGGGAGGCTCAGCCAATCTCACTGTATACATGTTGGATGATAATAAAGGTTCATTCATTAACATATCTGGCAACAAAAATGTCACAAATCCGTAAAAGGGGGCAAAATTCATTTAAATTCCTTTCTCACTTAGGAACAAAATTCCAGGCTCCATTGTGGCCGTAAATTGAGGACCGCCTGGTACAAATTTATGCAAAAGCATTTCAGCTAGGAAGTTAAAAAAAAAAAATATCACAAAAGGCCACCAAAATGTGGCCAAAAACTATCCCTGTTGAACTTTGGCCTGCAACCAATCTACCACAGACAGTCTGGATGAAGGAGGCGTGGACTTCAACGCCCACCCGCCTGGGGCATTCTGGGAGTTGAAGTCCCCGCCTCTTCAGGCCGGGGTGGTGGTGGTGGGGGAAACGCTGCACCTAAGGTGACCCGGCCTCTCGCGCATGCGCGGCTGGATGCTCGCTCTCTCTCTCTCTCTCTCTCTCTCTCTCTCTGTCTCTCCCGCCCTTCCCGCCTCTCAGGCCGGTGAGCTCACTTCCGGCGAGCGCGTGCAGCCGCCCGGACGCTTTTGCCGGGCACAACCGGAAGTTCCCTCAAGCGGCGGCCGTCCCCCCCCGCCCCGGGGCCTGGAGTGCTGGGACGAGCCGTCGTGGCGATCGTGGGGAGGGAACACAGGAGGCCGCGGCTCGGAGCTCCGGCGGTGTCCGCGTCGGCTGGGCTGGACCGGCGGGCGGTCTGGGGCGGCTGAGGCCGGCGGGTCGGAACCGCCGCGCGCGGGGCGGGGTTTCCGGAGGGAGCGCCTTCCGGGTGGCTCCGGCGCGCTTCCGCCTCCTCCCGCAGTGGCGGCTCGCTTCCTTCCCGGTAACGGACTCGGCGGAGGCGCCGCCCGCGATGCCGGCGGAGGCCTGAGGGCGAGGAGGCGGCGGCGGCGGCGGCAGCGGCATGGATCCTGTCGGGCCCGGCGGGGGCGCCGGCGGGAAGCCGAACCTGCAGATGGTCTACCAGGCCGTGCAGGCGCTCTACCACGACCCGGACCCCAGCGGCAAGGAGCGCGCCAGCCTCTGGCTCGGGGAGCTGCAGCGCTCGGTGAGGGAGGCCCGGCCGGGCCCAGGCGGCCTCTGCGGCCCCGCTTGGCGGGGCGGGGGGGGGGAGGCCTGGCCTGAGCTCCCTCCGCCCCGGGGAGGGGAGGGGGAGGGAGGG